ATGCGCACCACGTTTAAGGTTATTTTTTGCTTTTTGAAAACGTGGTTTTTTAGATTAATTTTTTAATCTACTATAATTATTCTAAGACATTAAGACAATAATTTAGTGCCTTTTTGGATTGAAATTGACTTCTGATTATGAAAATGATACTTAAACTTGATTCTAATGTAATGCTTTTTCGAATTGCAATTATTGGATTCTGATTATAAAAAATGAAACTTGAGTCTAACTCGAAAAAGGGGAATTTTTGAAAACTCGGAAATGGCTAAAAGATTACTTTCTATAAATATGGAATAGCAAGCAGAAAATCCATCAATGGTTTCTCACAAACGCAAATTTTTCTTAGACATCAAGACGGACAATAATTTAGTGCCTTTTTGGATTGAAATTGACTTCTGATTAGAAAAATGAAACTTGAACTTGAATATAACTTTAAAAACGAGAATTTTCAACAACTTAGGCATGGCTGCAAATTATTCTTGAATATTTCGAATATATTTAGCTTAAAATTAACGAAGGGTTTCTCTCCAATGCAACTTCTTTTAGACGTTCAGTCCATGATTTTTGCCTTTTTGAATCACAAATGACTTCTGATCATAAATACTTGAGTCTAACTTGAAAAAATGATAATTTTTGACAGCTTGTAGGCATGGTTAAAAAATAATTTTCTAATTTGGAATAGTGAGAATTCACGAACGGTATACTCAATAGAGGAATCCGTTCGTGAATTTTCTTCACATTCTTCGCAGTTTTATACAGATTTCTACCAAAACTATCCACGCCAATAATGTGGAGATATGGTTGAAAGATGTTGATAATAAATACTGCTCATTATTTCTTTTTGTTTAATGCTGAATTTTTGATAAGTAAATGATCGTAGTTCTTCCAGGAACCCCCTTCCCACCCAACCGAAATCCACTCGATGACATTTTAATCACTTCAGAGCAGGAAAGCACACATTGATTTAAAAAATAAAAGCAAATATATAAAAGATGGTTGTGGGAATCTTGATTGAACCTTGTGAACACTGAAAAGTGGCAAATAAAGTGTTCTGTTCATTCATTCATTCATTCTTCCAGGAATAGATAAGTAGAATAAAAACTTGAAGATCTCATCAACCTTATTGATCGATGGGACCGCGAAACTTTTGTGAACACTTTCTGTCTATTATGCTTCATTTAAATTTAAAAAGAAATACAAAACGCATATAAAATTTATAGTTTAAAAAAATCACAGTCTTTTTTCCAAAGTATTCAGTCGCGTAATATAAATAATCAGAAATAATATGAATAATGAAATGAATGAAAACCCAAGCGTGCAGCATGAGTCGTTATTGAAAACCAGGGTTTTGGCACGAATGGACCCCAGCAACGTGACTTACTTGCCCCAGTGGACCTTGGTGATCACGTTGAAGGAAGACCGATTCCACTTCTTCTTTTGCAGAATCCTGCCAACGGTGGACTCTGCTCGTCCACAGGAATAGACCTCGGACAGGTCAAACAAGTTGATCCCACTTTCGTAGGCTAGAGTGATAATTTCCTCGGCCAATGCGTCCGACGTGTGCGGCCCACACACGACCCACGTTGCTGTCGATATCAATAAGGTACTGCATTTCAAATGCACATTTAATCGGGCCTTATAAATTCTTGCACTTTTTGATCAAAAGAAATCAAGAGTCTCGTGTTCTTGAAGAATAAAAATTTAATGAAACAAAAACATTTAGAGATGGACTCTCTTCGCAACGGTCTTATTGCCCACCACGATTTTCTCGGTATAAAGAATTTATGTTTGGTCCCATATATTGAAAGCGAACAAGCTATGGAATTCTCGGCAACAAAATTTTTTCTAAAATCCATATTTGTCTGTTGCCTTGAATTTCGTTACAGTTGAGGGAGTACACCTGCATTAATTGAAAAAAAGCTTAACACCCCTGGGTCGGGGTTTTTCTTTTTCATTAATGGAGCATGTCCAAAATTGTGCCAAATTTAGATTGCACAAAGGCATTTAATTTTTTATTTGAGCCTGTTCGAGTTTAATTCTGCTCTTTTCAATCTCACATTGATAACCGTTTATAGTGAACACCTGTTTCATATTTCATGAAAAAATCAATACACAAGGATTAATAAAACTAATGGAATCCAAAATACTGTAGTTGCTTATGTGTGTGAACGAAAATTGCCTTTACTTTGACACAGAGTTTTTTTTGTGTGACGTAAAGTAACTTATCCCAGTCGGAACCCAGGAAATCCTTGAAAATCAACGAACCAAAAGCATGGAAGCAAGCAGCAATTTTCTTATTTTTCCAAGATTTCTTTCCAATTGCCAACTTGACAACTATTTGCCTGGCAGATAAAATATTAAATTCGCAGCAATCTTCGGACGCCAGATGTTAATACAAAGTTTGAATATACAGTATATCGTGACTTTTTTCATGAGAATATGGTGGCTAGACATGTTAAACAGTGATGAAGACGATTTTCAGCTTTATTCAAAGCACTTGCAAAAAATGAAAAAATCTGCTTTTTTTTTTACCAAGGCCTAAGTCAAGAAATAGTCCAAATTTTTTTTATCCTGCAGAAAACTTTCAATGAAAATTTAAAAAAATCCCTCTTCGAGTGGCATTTTTTCCTGCATTCTTGGCATAGGATTTGCATGGGAAAATTTTTCAAACAAAAGAAGATTTGCCTCCCAGATTTTTCCCAAATTGGGCCTCCTCAACCTGGGCACATTTCAGTACAAAATTGTATCCCCAAGGAAGACGCGTGCCCCATTTTAGTATATCTCTTAAACTACAACATTTCAAAAATAAGAAAATAAAATTTGAATTTAGACATGAATTGAGTATAAATTTGACTTGTCTCAAAATATGGGATATCCACCAAGAGTATACCTGGACTTTTAAAATTTGCATTGGTAATTCAGAAAATATCCAACAACAACAACAGCAACATCCACAAAAAAAGCTTCATCAGCTGGAGGGATCCATGCAAGTGACTCACCAAGTCCCAAATTAGACACCTTGAGCCCACTCTTCCCCAAATTGCGATACCGGAGTCCAGGCGTGAGACTACTGCTTTGTCTGGACAGAGATGCGGATGACTGGACACTGATCACAGCTGGCGTTAAATTATTCGCGTTCAGGTTCTCCAACTCGATCCCCAATTGGGGTCTGGTGGCGGCGCTGCTGGGACCAGCTCCTGCTGCTGCTGCTGCTGCTGCTGCTGCTTGTCTTTGCTCTTCTTCCATGCAGTCCAGCGTCGCAATCGGGGCTCTGCAACTATTTATAAACAGAAGGAGAGAAAAAAAACAGCAGAAACAATAATTATGATGCGTCAATCTCAACTTTATTTGATGATGGATGCACGCTCCAAATGCATGAGGTAATTTGAAATCACTCTTGATGCCTGCGATGTATGAATAAAATAATTTCAGCTGCATTGACAATGATGAGGTCTTTTCAGCAGATATCATTCATCACATATGAAATAAACTTTCCAAATAGACGATTGTGGAGAAATAAAAAGTAAATAACTGTTTGATACATACAGTTTCCGCTTTAAAAAAAATGTCTGAAAGCTTATTATTGTATTTGCTCAAGTACCACACAACCTCAAGTAAGATGCGCCCTTGAGTTTTTCAGCTTGAAATTTTGATTACATTGTATCCCTGAGTCAGACACTTAACCCATTTTTAGTGATTGCTGTATTTAAAAAATAAAGGCATACAAATTTGAATTTAGACAAAAATTTTACCTGATTTTGAACTAATTTTTACTTATTTCACTCATAACACATGTAATAAACTTATCCCAAATCAACAATGATTGGAGAAAATGCAAAAAGGAACAATAAAGCTGTTATTCAGACAGTCAACATTTAAAGAAGTATACCACAGTTACTAAAGTATCGCATGTCCTCAAGTGAGACACACACCCATCAGGTTTTTCAGTTGAAAGTGTTGATTACATTGTATGCCTGAGTAAGAGATGCTTGCTAAATTTAGCAAATAAGAAAACCCTAATTTGAATTCAGACAAGATATGAACTTTGGTTTAACTCATTTCCACTCACGTTCCACTATCGTGCAGCAAAGTAAGGATATTTTTGTGAAACTTTGTTCCCAGGAAGATTGGCAATTTAAAAAATTGATTTTTGCACCAAGGCCTAAGTTGGGAAGAAGTCCAATATTTTTTTTATGATCCTGCAGAAAAATTTGCCTAATAAGTCTCACTTGGTGGCTTTTTTCCAGGAATTCCTTGCATTGGATTAGCATCAGAGATTTTGAAATACAAAACGATTCACCCTTCCCATACTTGTCCCAACTTAGGCCTTCCCAATCTGGGTGCAATTCAGTGACCTTTGGTCAACCTGAAATGTGCCACCCTTCCCCTTCCTAAAATCCCCACTCTGCAGCAGGACAGCCAGGTGTTTCATCCCAAAGCAACGCAGCTCCAGCATCTGGCCAAAACCAGCCTAGAAAACTTGTTGGATCTTGAGGGCAGTGAGCCTTGCCAAAATCCCGTTTTTGCAAGACTCACTGAGCCTCACTCAAGGACAAGAAG